TACCTATTATCTACCTATCATCTATTATCTATCTATTATCTATCGATCTATCATTTCTCTCTCTCCCTATCATATATCAACTCTCTCTACCTATCATCCATCCAAATAATCTCTCTATTATCTATTTACCTATCATCTATTTATCTGTCATTTACCTCTCTCTCCCTATCATATATCAACTCTCTCTCTTTCCTTATCTATCTATCTATCTATCATTTATCTTTCTCCTTATCATATACCAACTCTCCCTCCCTTCCCATCATATCTCTATCATCCATCCATCCATCCATCATCAATCTCTCTTTCTGTCTCTCTCTCTCTCCATCTAATGTATGTGTGTGTGTGTGTGTGTGTGTGTGTGTGTCCTACACCCATACTATATATACATATAAATATTAATCGCTGTCCATTTTAAATACGTAGCGGAAAGAGGAAACTTGACAGTTCACAAGGTTGAACATTTTTGGAGCCAAAAAAACCTGTGACCGAATCTGGATGTTCTGCTTTGGGTACCACGAAGCCCCCCCTCCCCAAAGGTAACAAGGAAAAACGGGTCATGAAAAGGATGTGTAGCGTCCCACGCAATCCCACAGACCCTGATCAAGCATCTCTTATGTGCCAAGTCCTAGGCCAGGGGTCTCCAACCTTGGCAACTTTTAAGTCTGGAGGACTTCAACTCCCAGAATGCCCCAGCCAGCAAAGCATTCTGGGAGTTGAAGTCCTCCAGACTTAAAAGTTGCCAAGGTTGGAGACCCCTGATGTAGACAGAAGGAAGTGAACTGCCAATGGTCTTTTCTGCTGTCCTCACCACTTCACCCGTGTCTCGCAACCAAGCCAGCCTACTTGTTCGCTGCACGCCCTTGGTTCCAAAATTATGCACCGTTCTGATGCGCTATTTTGCCCAGGTAAAGGTCACAACAAGGAGAGTTTTAGCAGTGAAGACAGTCCTCGACTTAACAGCATCTCTTTCAGGGACTGTTCAAAGTTACAACAGCACTGAAAAAAAGGGTCTTATGACCGTTTTTCACACTTAGGACCTTGCCCGTATTGATGACAATCACAGTGTCTCAAGGTCACGTAATCCCTTTTGGCGACCGTCGGATGAGCAAAGCCCACGGGGAAGCCAGATTCACTTAACTACCGGGATAATAAACTTACCTACCGCAGTGATTCACTTAACAGCAGAGGCGAGAAAGGTCATAAAATGGGGCGAGATTCACTGAACAAAAAAATCTCACTTAACGGCAGAAATTTTGGTCTCAGTTGTGGCCGTAACTCGAAGACTACCTGTATATAGTCAGATGAGACCTCCCTGAATTCTGCTTGACCTATTTTATGGTCATAAGTCCAACCTTAGAGGCATTTTCTTTCTCTCTAATGCAGCCTTTCTGAGCAAAATGAGGTTTTAAAAGATGGGTACCTGGTAGGCCTCCGGATCCTGCAGCCTCTTGTGGACAGGATTGAGCTTATCCAAGGACGTCTGAGCGTGAGCCTTGATGTCCAACAACGTAGGCAGGGACCGGCAAACCTTCGGGGTGAAAAAGGCAGAAAAGGAGAAAGAGAAACGGGAACGTAAAGTTTACTTTATTGTCACTGCACCTTGTACAACAAAATTAAACAACCATCTTCGGTGTACATTACACATAAAAAAATAAAAACACAAACTCGCATCCTTCGCACTCTACACAACTGAATTGAAGACCCCTGATGTTGCATCGATATTGCACTATATACAGTAGAATTCAATAGAGTTACTGCCCTGGGATAGAAGCTGTTTTTCAGCCTATTTGTCCTTGTTTGTATTGTCCTGTACCATCTGCCAGATGGTAATAGTTGAAAAAAAAAAAGGTGCCCAGGATGAGATGGATCTTTAAGAATGTTTTGAACTTTCTTAAGGCAGCGGGAGCTCTAAAGCTCTTCCAAAGAGGAGAGAGGGCAACCTGTGATCCTCTGGGCAATGATGTTCACCCTCTGGGGCGCTGTCCTATCTGCCCCTGTGCAATTGGCAAACCAGGCACAGGTGGAGTAAGTTAAAATACTCTCTATGGTGCAGCGGTAGAAGGTCCCCAGCAGTTTTCCATTCAGTTGTTGTTTCCTGAGAGGCCTCAGGTAGCATAATCTCTGCTGGATCCTTTTGACCAGGGCTGCAATGGGAGCCCCCCAGGTCAGGTCCTCTTTTAGGGTAACACCCAGAAACTTAAAACTGGCCACTCGCTCCCCTCGGTCTCCATTGATAAGCAAGGGCTGGAGGTCTGATCTGTTCCTTCTATATAGTCCGCTATAAGCTCCTTGGTCTTATTGGTGTTGAGGACCGAGTTATTGTCTCCACACCACAAAGCAACCGATCCACTTCATCTCGGTAGGCAGACTCACCTCCCCTAGAGATGAATCCCACCACTGATGTATCATCTGCACATTTAATCATAGTATTACAGGCGTGAATGGGAATGCAGTCGTGCACATAAAGAGAATAGGGCAAGGGTCTTCAAACTTGGCCAGTTTAAGATTTGTGGACTTCAACTCCCAGAATTCCTGAGCTAAACATGACTGGAGGAGGAATTCTGGGAGCTGAAGTCCACATTTTTTTTTTAATCGTTTTTTCACGTTTTACAAATCTTATTCTCATTTTTAACGATACTGTGGCATCATAATCACACATACAAATCTCCATACATTTGTATACATTAATATACGTTTATCTATAATTTTCTTATCTCTGTTATTCTTGTTTCTGCTATTCAGCCATTTTTACCAATTGTCCCAAACCTCATAATACTCTGAGTCTTCTCTATCATTTAGCTTTGGCATGAGTTTACCCATATCAGCACAATCTAAAATCTTTTGAATTACTAATTCATCCGGTGGCATTCTATCTCACCTCCAACATTGCGCGAATGCAATCCTCGCTGCTGTCATTATGTGTAATATCATATATTTAACCTGTTTACTATTTTTCCCCTTTATTATTCCTTAAAACAGGGGTCAGGGAACTTTTTTACCTCTTACCCCCCAAAAAATTTATAAACGCAGACGTTACCCCCTTGATTTGAAAGTAAGGAAATCATACATCCAATAACATTTTGAATTCAAATACACCAGTCCCTCACCCCTTTCCTAAGAAGTCTGTAGGGGGTGTGCATAAGTGCACCAACGCCTACCTTCCCTGTCCTATTGTTTCCTTTTATTTTCTTATATGTATCCATTTCATGTATTCATAATTATGTTTATACTTATACCTATTATCTTGTAAGCAATTGACAAATCAAATAAATAAATAAATTTGTTGTGGCTATTGCCAATTTCTATTCAAAACAAAGGCAGTAGAGACTGTCTTCAAATTGGCAATAGGCACAACAAACTTCCATGTCAAAACACTTTAGCTCAGCAATTCAGAAAGTTTCATAAAAATATTGACAGTAAAAAAAAAAAGCGATTTAGGCCACAGAAGTCAACTTTTATGTTCTGTCAGGAATGCAAGTGACTGCCTCCAGCCTGTGCTTGAACCCAGCCAGTAAAGGGGTTCCCACCGCTTCTCTGGCTAATTGATCGTTCAGGGGAGGAAACTTAGCATTAGGAATCGTCTCCTAACATGCAGCTCGAGGGGCTTCTGTAATGCGAATCTCTTTGGATGACAGAGCAGGCTTCTTCTGTACTGCACTCTCTGTGGCTGCACCTGCTGACTTCGCGCCACCTTCCAACTTTTATAGACGCGTCTGCGGAGAGAGCGCGGAAAATTGGCAATCCGAGTAAGGCAAACGACTCCAGGTGGCTCCAGAGATGGGTGGGGAGCGGGAAGAAAACAACCTTTTATCTCAGCCGCCTTTATTGCGCAAATGGCCATCGCCTCGGACACTTGAGCTGCTGCCAGCCAAACCGACCTTTTCCCGTTTGGCACAAAAAGCCGCCAGGGAGGGAAGAGGGAGGGAGGGAACCTGCTCGCTCAGCCTCTCAGCGCCCCCGACTTGTTTTCGCGGGCTCCAGAGACACGAACCGCGACAGCGCCAGAAGCCCTCCCCTGTCCTCCCCGTCTTCCCCCCCCCGCGCCCTCCCGGTTTCAGTCCAGCTCGCGAGTTTTGGCTGGCTGAAGCAAACGCGACCTCCGGCGTGCAGCGGCAGGAGCTGCGAGCTCGCGGCAGGCAGCGCTGGGGCTACGTCAGTCGGGGCGCGCGGTTTAGACTTCGGCTCTTTAAAAACGACGTGTAAACTGAGATGCTCCCATAAGAGAGCCGAGCGCGGCAGCAGTCGTTTGGGTTAACGGCAGCGGGCGTCGCCCACAGCTGCGCTGGCACGTGCGCGCTCCGCCACCCCTCGCCTTCAAGTTAGGCTTGTCCCGGAAAGCTTCAGACCGACCGCCTTCGCCCCCTGCCCCCACCCTTCCCTCTCTGGCACGTGCTCCGTCTGGTTAGAGTAGTCAGTAGCCAGATGACCCCCTAGTACCCGCTCTCTCTACAGCGCTTGCGCCATACACATAAACGCTGGAGCAGTCCACTGAGAGAGGGGGGGGGGAGCAGAGCAGAGAAGGAGGATGCGGTGACACTGACACACACTGACACTGGCCGTCCGTGCTATAATAGACCATAATAACTGCTGCTATGCCGATAGTTCCGCCATTGGCCAGCGCAACCTCCTCATTACCCCCAGATTTTCACTTTTACCCCATTTGGGGTAATTTACCCCTGTTCCCCGACCACTGCCTTAAAAGGAACAGTTCAGGTTTAAACACTATCTGGTCTTTCAACTATTTCTCGTAACCAACTCTGTATTTTGATCCAGTATTTTTGGGCTTCCGGGCATTGTCACCACATATGGAAGAAGGTACCTTGGGTTTGTTTGCATTTCCAGCATCTTGGATTCATACTGGGATACATTTTTGCCAGTCTCATTGGTGCCAAATGCCAACGATTATAAAGATAATCTATATAATATGTTTTATATTATATAGATTATCTTTATAAGCCGCCGATCTTTTTAATGGGTAAGTTTTACTCCACATTTTTCCCCAATCTTCTAAATCTATGTTGTGTCCAAATTTTTTTGCCTAGGCTATCATACAAACTTTTACTACTTCCACTCCTATGTCAAATTTTAATAATTATACATCCTTATTATAAATTTCTCCTCTGGGCCTAGAAGTCCACAAGCTTAAAGCTGTCAAGTTTGAAGACCCCTGATATAGAGAAGCAACCTGGAATTAAGGAGAAACTTCCTAACAGGGAGGGCAATTAACCATTGGAACTGCTAGCCACC